GGAGTGGAACTGCGGCCGTCCGGCCTTGGGAGCCAGGTGCCCCCATGGCTGGCGTCTCCTTGGGTGGGATGGGGAGTGGTGGCTAACTGGGGCCCAGAAGGACGTTCCCAGGGGCCGCAGTGGGCCCCTTTCCCAGCTGTGTGATGAGACTCCTGGAGGGGAGCTAATCTGGAAAAAGAGAGCTGTCGGTTAAACATCTGCGGGACAAGGGTAAACAAGGGGGTGCTTAACATGGGCTGCAAAGAGGGGCAAACCCTTTGGAGGCGCCGCTGGCCCCTCGGGGCGTCTGCAGGGGAGGTGACCAAGTCAAGATGGCGGCTGCAAGGTCTCGACTTTTTTGACACCCCCTCCAAACGCCTCTGGGAAGGTGTTCTTTGGTTTTTGCTTTGCCTTGTGCGTCCAGGTAGGAGCTCCTCCTGGCCTCCCCCCCGGGAGGGCTGAGAGCCCCGGTGGCCCCCATTGCCCGTCACCCGGGCCCGATGGAACAGGGTGCCTTGTCCAGCTGCGCCTTCTGCTCTTGCCAGGCACCGCTCCTCCCTCCCACCAGCCCTTCAGAGAAGCTCCGTCTGATCATCAGGGATCACCGAGATCCTTCCGGAGATGCTCCTTTGCTCCCCCGAGTAGATAGATAGGACGGGCTGGTTCGCTGAATTTGCAGACAGGCTCTGGGTTGCCCCTCCATTGCAGAGCCGAGCTGGGGGGGGGGATCGCTCCTGCTGGAAGCTCCTGGCTGTTCTGCTGGGCGGGGGCTAACCTGTGGGGGGAGGGCCAGGGTCCTCTTGTTTGCCTAGGGACAGGTCTCCTTAGGTGAGGCCTTATCCACTGCCTAGGGGAGCGCATGGATCCGTACTTGGCCTGTGCAGCGCTGCAGCATAAAGCCAGCCGGGCACGGAAATGCAGCCCCGGTCCACACCCCCCCCCAGAGGGGAGTCGCCAGCGGCACCAGCTTCAGACTGTCTTTCTGAAGCTCCAGGGCAGATTGATACCTGTAGAGGGGAGGCAGCCAGATCTCCTGGTGGCCTCCCATCCATGTACTAACCAGGCCTGGCCCTGCTTCGCTTTCTGGAATCGGATGCAGGAAACGCACAAACAGACAGAGCCAGCGAAGGCTCCCAAAGGTGCTGGCTTGTCTCTTGCCTGTCGTTTGATTCTCGTAAGATTTAGGAGTAGCCACTGGGCTTGCTGGCTTTTTCCTTGACTGAGGAAGCTGGCGGGGCTCT